ATGGATTTAATGGATAGATGAAGAATGATGAAAAATAATAATGATGAAGATGTTTCCAAGGCTACTCTCGGTTTTGATCTTGAATGATTTGTATAAACATACACAATGTCTGTTATCAATCGAATATGGACAACTCATTCAAACAGTTTCAATTTTGTTCAACATTCAACGCATAGCTCCCTTGCATGCACATTGTTGTAACACATATGTTTTTTTCACAAACAAACACTTCAAAGTGGCCACTCTGCCACTTTGTCACTCTGCCATGCAGTTCATTGGCAACGAGTGCCTCTGCCTTGAACGCATCCGGCCTCGCTTTTTGGGCAGAAGTAAATGTCTGCGGGAACTTCACAAATGTATTGAAAAACTTACCACAATGGGTTCAACAGATACATCGTTTATCATCATTCAAATATGATTTTATTCACTAATAACCCCTCAATGAAAAAAAACACTTAAGTTATTCTCTGCCTCCTGGTCATTCGCACGTCTCTCACCTCCCGCACCTCGGTCAGTCGGAAATTCACAGGACCATTTCCGACTCTTTAAGCATCTCTTTGCGAAATGGTATGTGAAGAACCTGCGAACAACTCATAAGCAGAACTGTAGTATGGCAGACTGCGGTCGTCCTATCATCTGCAAAATCCTGAGAAGATCCTGAGAAGATCCTGAACCTGCAAGACCTGATTGATCATCAAAGCCCCAACCTCAAAAGTATGAGATATTGTGAGATGCTGTCAACTCAAGGCACGTCTGGTCACTTAAGTTTCAAGCAGGGAAGCTGGGTATAGCTTGTTGTCCCTTGGCTGCGCTGGCACTTGGGTCAAAACAACTTCTTGTCTTTCATCATCAACGACAGCATTGGAAGCTTCAGTCATGCAGCGTAGATCAGCGTAGTGAAAAAGATTATATATAAAAGATTCACAAGGATCGCAAAAGGTCCATGAATCATCATGAATCGCATTCCCTCAATCTATGAAGCATCTGCACCGCGGACGTCTCTTTGATTCACGAAGCTCATGGCAATCAATGGAAGTCTTGCGGACCGACAGTTTGAGGGTCCAAGCAATCTGGTGTAAAGTATCAGTAGTCCTCAACTATAATTGTAATCCTGGATCTTGGCATTGAACTCCTTGGATTTGTGATGATTTGGCAGTGTGTCAAAACCTTGTACCCCTGGTGAACATCAAAATAGCTGGTAAATGGATGTTCATCCCACTAAAAATGGTATCTATAGGTATTGATCCATACCCATTTGTGTAAGGGGGCCACAAAACACGGACATCGCACAACATTCCCAGTAGATTCCCCTGAAATTGGTGGATTAGTCAATGGGAAATCAACGGGAGAAAAACTCGACTCATGTACATATGGTCTCGGCAAATCCAAGACTCTGTGTGCAAATCCTCAAATTCATGTTCTTCATGCAGGCGATTTGGTTCCTCTGCCCAGCACATCAAAATGGCCTTGGTTCCACTGCTGAAGATCGTCATGACTCCTCCACCCGCCAACAAACCGCCGAGGAGACCACTGATGACTCCAATGAGAATCACCACCTGGGGGGGGGACCTGGGGGGGGGGGGTTCGAACTTTGAACGGGGACCCCCAAAATTCGCCAAGTTGTAATCTTTGCAATATTTTGAATAGGGAACCCAATAGTTTGGGATGGTTTTATCAATTTTACATGGTTTTACCACTGGTTTCACATGGTTTTACCTTGTTTTAAGAATGACATTCCAATCATTCCATGGTTCTTGCGGTCTCCAGCCGCTGCCCACCTCCCGAGACAAGGCGGCATGCTGGAACTCAGCCTTGGTGCCCCAAGCAACGGCAGCACCGACGCCAAGGCCAACCAAGCCGCTCAGCAGGGTTCCTAGCGTCACCACACTGTCGATCAAAAGATCACCAATGATAGCCTTCAGCCCATTACCTGGACCAGGATGGAGCTATTAAATGGTGATTGTTTCAGAAGTCAGAAAATATATGAAAATATGTGTTTGTTTTGTATGTTTGAAAAGTCTGTTTGAACATGTTTGAACATGTTTGAAAGAAAACACACTTCTGTGATCTTCTGTGGATTTTGACAATTGGGAAAATAACAAAAATCATCTACTCAGCAAATCCAAGATGACATGAAATCATAGCACAAGTGGCACGGGCCGATTCACAAAAGCTACCACCCCGAATTGCACACTGGACGTAGACCCATGCATTGAAGTACTCGAGCATGTCGCCAATTGCATCAATGATGCACTCCAGAATCAGAGCCACAACACAACCAACAACATTTCCGTCCTCTTGTGCTGCAATCCGAACACTTCGCACGAGCATCTGCACTGCATTAATTGCAGCCACAACAAAGGTCCCAAAGCAAATGCTACCAAAGGAAGTGGTCAAAGCCACTTGCAAACTGGGGAACAGCAGTGGCCCATCTGCGGAGAAATACCATCGGCTGAAAACCCCCGCATATGCCATGTGACACACATTGTGAATTACGCCACTTCCCCAGTACAACACCAGAAGGAAGCAGAACTCCAACGGACTCATCACACCTTTGTTCTTGTCCGGTGTATCCTCCTTGTGCTTGATGGTGAACGCAGCAAAGCCAACCGTAAGCAAGATCACCCAAGCTGCACTGAAGAAGCCTCCCAGGGCAGATACAGCCACCATGCAGGGATTCTCATTGGAGACATTTGCCACCATCCCAACAACTTCAATGGTGAAGGGAATGTATTGAGCCCAGCAGCACATCACACAACCCAATTGACACATCCCAGCCAAGATGAGGATGGCTCCAGCTATCATCATTCCAGTTTGGCCCGAACACACCAGGGCAACGCCACCCAGGATGCTGAGGACAGGAATGGCATAGAGGGAGATGTAGACCACGGGGCTGGGACAGGCCTTCGCAGCCATGATCCAAAAGAAGGCCATGATCAAACCAGCCACACTTCCAGCCACACATGCCAAGTTGATGGTAATGGCATCGCTCCAAATATCTGGTGGAACTTTACCATCATGGGTCTTCCAGTGCTTGAAATCTTCATCCTCATTGAGTTCTGTGTTGATGCCAACCACGGAGTAGATCACGAAGGCAACCAGTGCCGCAACTGTCAACATGAAGAGGATTGCCCAGGGAAGATCTTTGCATCCCCGCCGGGAAGGAAATCTGGGTGCGGTCTGCAAGAATTCAGCTCCGCTCCTGATCTCCTTCTCTCTTCCTTTCTTTTGCTTCTCCGGAAGATCACGGATTTCTTTCAAGTTTTGAATATCCACTTCTTTGCCACTGATCAAGACATTTCGGGCACTGCCGTATTCCATGGTTTGGCTTGTTCAAGGCCGCAAAAGATCAAATATTGGCCGCACACTGCAAAGGTTGAATTCGAGCCCAAGACCATGTAGCACCAGCGCATCAAACCACCATGCTTCTATGCAGTTGACCTTGTAAAGACTCCAATTAAACTAAACAATTGCCTGAAGCGCTGAGTTGCGGGCCGGCAGCACCATGGGATGTGCAACCATTGCCTGAAAGATGTGGTATGCCACAGTATCTGGATGTATCTGGTATGTGCAGCAATGTGAAGCAAAAGTATGTGTGTTCCTTTGTAGGTTCATACGAACATCTCTCAAGAAGCAGGTCGTCCGCAGGCCTGTGGAACTTGTATGTTCTGCAGCACCGCGGCCAAAGGATTGGGCGCGATCTGAGAATCAGATTAGATTTGATTCCTTGACGAGTCCATAAATATTCCATAAATATTCCATAAATAATATATATATATACAGAACGTACAACAAAGAAAAGATAAATTGTACAAGCAGAACAGAGTCGAACCAAATAATCCGGATACTTTACTCACTCACAATGGCTTTGATACGACATAGATTGGTTTGCAGTGTCTGAACTGAGACTTGGAATCATCATGAATTGACTTTGATCCAGTCAAACTGTGGTCTCGTGGCTTTCCACATCAATCATCAGCTCATTGACCTGGCTCGGCGGCAATGTCGGCTGGACTCCCTGGGGCTCAGCGGTCTGCTTTCTCGCCCGGAGGTTGGTGGCCTTGCCACATTCCATGCATTGCAAACTCAGCAAATGATGATCTGCTGATGAGCTTTGTGCTGATGAAACTAAACACCACTCTGCCAACTTCAATTCTATGTATTAAGAATGAAACCTCATTTGATTCAACTACTTCTGGTGGGCTATGCTCCCCACTGCAGCAGCTGCCATAGCCTGCTGCACATGTAAATGCCACTGAGTGTGACAATGAAGTGCACAAAAAACTGATAGCCTTTATGATAAATACATACTATGCAGTGTTTCTTCTCTCTCCCTTTCTCTATCTCTCTCTCTCTCTCTAAGATCATCATCTGCATCAAGCCAACGCAAGTACAAACAAAATGTTTGATGTTTTCTGTTGCTTCTGATTTCACATTTCAAGATCTGACCACCTTCAAACACATGCTACTGTATACAGGGCGCAACTGCAGGTGACTGCAAATGTTGATTGTCTACGGCATGCGCTCGGTGTCTCCGCCCTTTCTCCTTTGGATTAATCTTGGTCCTGTTAAAGACAGCTCCAACTCCAAATCAAAACAAAACAACAAATCAACAAACAAATGCTTTTAAGAAAAATAGGCCGTTCCTGCTTGGCTTGAAGGCTCAGCTCTGCCTCCTCCACTGGCCTCGGACTATCTTTTTAGCAAGTGACTGCAACTGGTATCTAAGTCCAACCAGTTACGCATAATTGTTCCATCCCAAAATGATATGTTCAAGCAAGGCCTCAAACAAGTTCATAGCTGTCTTTGTCATTGAAACGTTGTCTTCAGCGAAGGAATCAGTTGCAAAGTTGGGCCCTGAGCGTTGGAGGAGGCTCTGGTGCACCTGTCATGATCTGGGCAGCTTGTCCTTTTCGGGTCCACATGAGTTTCTTTGAAAATAAGATACACTAAATCCATTGCTGAATCATCATTACCCATAGGATCCATGTATGGTGTATATGCTAACATTGGGGATATATTGATGGTAAATGTTACCATATATAGCAGCACCATGGATCCTATGGGTTATGTGTAATTATTCTTTGGTGGCATTCCGACTCTGCATTGAATATGCATTCATATATTTTCTGCCGAATTGCCGTTTCAAATCAAGTGAAACTGAGTGGCAATACTCCGCATATCTCCGCATTGAAACTGACTAAAGTACATTTTCACATAAATCGATGGTGCTGCCGGTAGAATGACTCCAGAAGGACTGGAAGCTGTACAAATCTCATCAAATCAGGCAATTGGATTAACATGTCAAAAGAAATTTGATTCAAATCTCTTTTGACATGGTAATCCAATTGGCGAGCGCGGATCGCTGGCGTTTCGTGCGCCTGGCCTGCTGCACGAAGCCCATTGCGTTGTAGAAGATGGCCTTGTGACTCCACAGAGATACTTTCAAGATCTATTTTATTGAACGCCCAGCCACGGCGCTTGGCAAGGCACATCCCACCTTCGAGCATCAATTCAAAAGTGCAACGTGAGTTGCAAAGGCACGTGCCTTTGCAACTCACGTTGCACTTTTGATCAGATCGTACACCTCAACCACCTAATTTAGGTGGTTCAGGTGCAACATCTGATCATTGAAATAGCCTAGATTGAGGTAGCCACGAATGCATCCAGTGCTCTTCTCCACACAGCAAATGAGCGACTGCGTGTCTGAACCCCTCTTCAGTAGATTGTAGATCGATTTGTGAGCATCAGCCTCGTGCACAGGGATTCCAGAAAAGTCTGCCCATTCATCAGGTGCCATAGCAAGGTGCAGGTGTCCTCGGAGGCTATCAGTGTGATCCAAAGAAATCCAGATGAGGTCGTTCCAGACGAGACCATTCCAGAGGAAAAGTGCACCTTTTCCTCGGGAATTGTCTCATCTGGAACGACCTCATCTTGATACCATTGAGTCATCACATTGTGACTGCACCGCAAGGATGGTTGTCCCCGTTTTCGCTTCGGCGAACTCATGGTCTCACGGGGTTCGCTCCGCAAAGGCTTTGCGGAAAATAGGCTCGGCAAAAAATGTTGGCTGACGACCTCCATACATGTCTTTCACACCCAAAGAAACTCCATGTTTCAAAAATTTCATGACCATTTCCATTTGTGAGTTTCGGAAGGCAATGCAAAGGGGTGTCTCTCCTCTGAAATCAGCGTGGTCCACTGCGCACCCCTGTGCAATCAGCCAATCAGCGCAATTTTCATTGCTTCAACGGGCAGCTGCAAAGAGTCGGTCTGGTGGTGGTTGTCCGAAGCATCCACTGCCAGGCCATGTTTCTGAAGTATTTGGCAAAAAAAACAGCAGAACCTTTGTTGAGAGGTCGGCCAGCCGCAGCAAACATAAGACTCTGCCCATGTTCGTTCAGCTTCAAATTCGCAGTGCGAGCCGTCTCCAAATCTTTCGGTTTGGAACCTGCTTGAAGGTAAGTAAAGGCATTTTTCTGCCTCCCCATGGCGGCCGAGGCCCAAGAGGCAACGCCGGCGTGCTATTTCACCCGCCAGCTGCTTAATCTTCATCAACATTGGAGCCAATTGGTCCGTCAATTTGACTTGATACAATTTTCATTCCTCAGTTTCTGTTGGTTCAAACCTTAATGGTGAAGCCTCCCAGCGTTTCCTATTTAAACATATCATACCAGTAGTGCCGCGCAAGGCGGTGGCGGAAGTTTCAAAAATAGGAAACCTATAGAAGAGGTTGGTTTTTATGAATCACGGATGGCAGAGCGAATCCACTGATGGACCGACAGGTGGTTGGAGTTGTGTTTTTTGGAATGGTTGCAATGGTTGCAGTGGTCACCTGGCCACAACTGCTGGATGTAGTGTGACGTAGCGCAGTTGTAGTTGTAGTTGCACTTGTAGCTGTAGTTGTAATGTAGTGTAGCGTAGTGGAGTTGTAGTTGTAATGTAGTGTAATTAGTGTAGTTGCAAGTGCAGTTGCAGTTGTAGTCGTGTTGTGGTGTAATTAGTGTCGTATAGTGCGGTGTAATGTCGTGTAGTGTTGTGTAGCGTAATGTGGTATAGTGTAGTGCAGTCTACCGTAAGGTAGTGTAGTAGTTGTAGTTGTAGCGTAGTGCAGTGTAATTAGTGTAGTGTAGCGTAGCGTAGTGTAGTGTAATGTAGTGGAAGTTGTAGTTGTAGTTGTAGTTGTAATTGCAGCTGCAGCTGTAGCTGTAGTGTAATGCAATGTAATCAGCGTAGTTTTGTGTTGTGCAATGTAATATGGTTGTAGCTGTGTAGTTGTAGTGTGCTGCAGTGTAATTGGTGTAGTGTAGTGTAGTCTAGTGTAGCGTAGCGTAGTGTAGTGTAGTGTAATGTAGCGTAGTATATTTGCATTTGTAGTCGTAGCAGTAGCGTAGTGTAGTGGTAGTTGTAGTTGTAGATGGAACTGTCTATCTATCTATCTATCTATCTATCTATCGATCGATCGATCTATCGATCTATCGATCTATCGATCTATCGATCTATCGATCTATCGATCTATCGATCTATCTATCTATCTATCTATCTGTTTGTCTGCCTGTCTGCCTGTCTGCCTGTCTGCCTGTCTGCCTGTCTGCCTGTCTGTCTGTCTGCCTGCCTCTGCCTGCCTGCCTGCCTGCCTGCCTGCCTGCCTGCCTGTCTGTCTGTCTGTCTGTCTGTCTCTCTGTCTATCTGTAAGCTTGAAAATGCAGCAAGTCTGCGATACTTCCTCAATTTTTGAAATTGACAACATCAAAAACGAAGCAATTCTGCGAAACTTCCTTCGCCTCTAAAGTATTGCGCCTGCCACGAAAAATTGATGCCAGGTCATACGAAGTGCTGCACCTGTCACGCAAAATCATCTTCCCAAAACTGAAGATCTGATGCTCCAAAATGCAACCCGTCTCAGGAAATCAGCGCCCTAACCTCTTAACATCTCTGATGAACATCTCTTGTGTAATGCGCCTGCCACGTGAAATGCATCTTTACAAATCCCCTTCAAATGTCCCACACCTGCCATCGTTTTTGGAACTGCTACAAACCCTCACGGTTTCCTCACTTTTGGCAAGGTGCAGAATCCCTTGCACCTGCCACGCAAAATCACATCTGAACCTTCAAAAGTGGTGTTTTTGACATTTTTAACATTTTGACTTGGAAATGTGCTTCGTGCCACAACAGCGTGCACTTTTTCATCATCTCAACTTCCAAAAGTGCTCCGAGAATGGTGTGCTCGGTACATTTTGAATCATTTTGACTTTGAAATGTGCTTCGCGCCACAACGGCCTGCACTTTTTCAACTTCCAAAAGTGCTCCGAACCCGTCAGTGTTTTACACTTTTGACTTCGAAAGTGCTTGGCGCCTCAACGGCGTGC